TTAGGGATACAGGACGATCTTGAGTAATTAATTGTATTTGAATTTTTGGAGTGTTCCAGTCTATATATGGGATAAACATAAAGGGTAAGAGATAAAGAACAGAAAGAAATGAACAAAAAATTAGAGCTATTAAAAAAAAATAATACATACTTTTAAGCGCCTCTATATTTAAATCAGTTAACCACATCATATATTGCACATCTTCAATCGGTAATGCAATCTTAGTAATGATATTATTTGTTTGAGAAGCAGCCATTAGTGCAGCATCAACACCGCGTACTGCTTCATTTTTAGGATCATTTATATAAATAAAGACATCCGGCCTAATTTGATCAATCGCACTACTTATATCTTTAATAACTGAAATGAAGACATTTTCATCTTTTTGAAGTTCTAAATCATATACAGCTACATCACAATTCGGTAATAGTGAATTAGACTTTCTTAATTCTCTACCGCTTATTCCACGATCAGTAATTATTACGTGTGTAGATACATTTTCAGCTTTTGCTTTTCTATACAAATTACAATAAATAGGTTGTAAACCGGTTGCATGTTGATCACCATCAATAAAAAATATAATATTGCCATTATTATAATTGATTTCTTGAACTTGAGAGGAAGCTGATTTTATAAAAGAACTATTTAAATAAAGAAATATTATCGATATTAAAAACAATAATAATAAAATTTCTGCTATAAATTTATTTCTAACTATTCTTCGATATGACCAAAGTAGATAGTCTCGTTTTCGATATTGTATAGAATAATCCATATTCTAGTTTTGTCAGGAATAGAAAAAATATATTTAAATATATATTGAGAAAGGAATAATAACGATTACTTGGGCATAGAAAGATCAGTATTTATAGTGCTTAAAAGGTAATTATATTATATTTGTAAAATTAGATACGAGTTTATTTTTTTGTAAATATGAAATTTTTTTGAAAAACTTTTAACATAAAAGTTGTCAGAAAATATATCAATCGATATCTATTTATACTAAAAACCGTGTTAAATCATTGCGCGGTAATTAGTAGTGTGAGATTCTATTTGTGTAGGAGTCGTGTAATATGTTTATATTGTCGTGCATAATATTAAATTCCATATAAATTCTAATGGCTGATATATACTTAGTCGATAATCATATGTAATTAATATTTTAGGCCGAAGATTTTTTTAGGTAGTTGATTAAGGTTCGGTTAATAATAAGAAATAAATTGTGCGATCTGATCGAGATGGAAGTACCTGAACGATACGCTGGAATATAACCGAGCATATGACATCCTATGCATATACGTAAAACTTTTTTTAAATGTATACTTCTAATCAGCCCCAAAGTCACTCATTTAAGAATTTCTAATTATATCCATCCTGATTCATATAAGTTCATTGTTAGTGGATTTATTTTTAGCATACTATACATATTATAATGTCTCTTATTACGATACATTAATATTGGTTATTTACGGAATTCAGCGGATGAGTATAAAAAATGCTTCTAGTGTAGATGTACTAAAATTGATTTAATCCGCGATATATTTTAGGTTGTTAATTCTGTAATTTATGATGCAATTAGAAACGTTTTCCATACAAGTATAAAATTTAATCAGGTGCATAAAAGTGCATCTTAGATATGTATCTAACTGTACATAATATCTCTCATTCAACCTATGAATAATTTACTAGCCACTTGCGTAAGTGCATATGTAATCTATTATTCATTTATCAGCACATAACATTATGCATATTTAGCATACTATTTACAGATAAAAAACAAAACAAAAATTTACTCGCTTTTAGGTGCATTAAATTCGCACTAACAATGTTTAGTCATTTTGTTAATCAATGCTTTTTTTTCTCAAATGCAGTGAGAACTTCTGAATGCAACTTCGAAATGCATTAGTTCTACTATTATATATAATAAAAAAAAAACAATATTATATCGATATTGCATTACCTTCACGGTTCCTATTTTTATACAATACTGTATTGGCGCAAAGAAGTTCTTTTAGACATTTTTTTGATACACATAAGAAATTTCTAGTTATCTGCATGTTTATTTTGATGTAATAGTTTGAGCTGCACCTTCTTGTAGCAAATTTTATCCGAAAAGGATGTTGTTTATCCGAATATTTTATATCGTGCAGTACTGGTGTTACCATCTATCCAAGAAGGACAGACAAGCGCTAAAATAGTCCGGGATGCGAATACGTAAAAATAAAACAAGAATAAGATATATGTGTATTCAATAATCGGAATAGCAGATGCCCAATAAGTAATTATAATTCAATATGAGAAATCAAATAAACGTGCGATGCAATACAATCGAATAACATAATTCAAGAATTAAAATCTTCACAGAGATCTTTATTATAAAGGAATCTGCTCAAAAATAACCTGCAGGCACAAGCAAGGTAAATTCAAGGAACTTATATACATGCAAACCATTTCCTTTAAAAGTGCGGGATATTATTAAAGGTCATTGACATAACTTCCGTCCCATTGACGTACACATGCAAGGGTTTATCCACCATAACATCATCTCACGACATCCTTTAGTCCGGCTTTACTTGTTCGTGCCGGTAATACAATTTTCTTAAAAGGAAACAGCTATTAAGAAATTCGAAAGTTCTAGCGATGATTTCTCAATAACTACATCATGAAGTTGTTTTTATGTAGAGTTACGTAGAATTTTTATGTAGAGTTATGTAAAATTTTTATGTAGCTTTATAAACACAATGTAGATTTACATAGCTATTTATATAAATCTATGTGAAATTTTAAAAAAAATTTCAACTTAAATATTAAAGCTAGAAATGGATTTTAAAGCTTAAACTAGGGGTTTGGGGAGTGTTTTCTGACCTGCTGAACATTTTTACTTAGTATATCGAACACTGATTACCTTAGTCATTTTTGAAAAATAGCCAAAGTAAATTAATTTATTTTTATATAGATATAACTAGCTAGTGTTTTTTTCCTAGTACCCATGGGAACTGAAAGTTTGTATAAATTTTACATATACTGTACTAGCAGGACTCCAGAAAATTCCAAAAAGGGTACAATTACTAAAACCGGACATGTTTTTATTAAATTTGAATTTTTTTTTTTGGCCCAAACTTTTCTAAATTCTGGTCAAATTAAAAAATTTATTAACTCAACTCGTATCTAAATTAGTATTATCCGGTTCCTATTAGAGTACCCGGGTCAGATTGAGTTAGCTTCTTGGCAGGTCACAGGTCAAAAATTGGCCCGACCCTGGCTAACTTTATTGGGATTTTCACCCTGGCGGAATTCTTATTGTCAGGATTTGACCTAAACCCAAACATTGCGGAGAATTTATGAAATTAGAGTATTTTGACTATGGAATGCGTCATTTACTATTCGTTTTTTGACATTTCATATTGTAAAATCATATAGCGTTAGGTTAAAAAACGTGAAAACTATCAAAATATAGACCGATTAAAGTGGGAAAGCTGTGAAAACTATCAATAAACAAACCTATATTATATTTAATTAATATGAGTATTTAGCGTTTATTGTAAAAGCTAATTATTATCGTTCTTAATCCCTAAGATCTCGCAAAGTCCGAATTTCTATGAACTTCGCTTGATGTCGGTTTAGATTGTGGTTTAAAATTTTCATAATACGATTCTGTATTATTAAAATTAAAAGAAAAGTAAGGTCTGCTATGTCTTCGAGATTATAAAAAAAGAAATAGGTGAATTTTGATTCATAATGGAAGACTCTTGATCGTTGAATATGTTATTTGTGTTAAATATATTAGCTTCCGAAGATAAATCAACCGGAATATCCATATTTTTGCTCAGGGCCGACCACCAGAATAGTTTTTTTTTTATTAATCGAAGAAACTGAACAGCTGCTAGTCATTGAATTATTATCAACACTATTTGAAATATTGAAATAATATAAACCATTTGTTTTGACGTTTTATAAGCTTGACTTTTTACGTAATTTGATAACAGCGGTAGTTCAATTATTTTAATTAACAGAATTAATGAATAATATCTTGTTAGTGATTTTGGCCGAAACTGAAAAAAATCGGCTGATCGGTTTGGTATACAGTAGTCAATACGAAAATTTCCGACATAGAAAATCCAAACATTTTTGAAAATTCCAGATCAAAGAACTAAAATTTATCGGCTTAGTCATAGCCGAAAAATTATGCTCGGCCAGAATCACTATATCTTGTTCCATATGTGAACAAAAGAAAAAAAATCACAACGTATCGAATATTATTGTTAATATATTTAACTATAGTTATAACTATCGTTTTTATTTTATCAGTTTTATATATTAAAATCAGTTCTATCGTGTGATAAAACCTAGGACATAGTGTCGATAAAACGTTATCTCGGCACCAATAGTTTGGATGCCACTATAACTCTCCATTAACAACCCTAGATAAAGCATAAAAATTATTGACGCATAGAAAATCATGACTTACAATACAGCTCGAGCCGGGACATCAGCAGATAACTCTAATGCACAAATTCTTAAGTATTTATATACTATATATACATGCAGTTATATACTTTTATAGATGATACGTAATATATATATTAGTATATAAATTAGAAATCAGTCTAATGTTATTACGTATAATATACAGTATCAGGTATAAGAATTTCAAAAGGATAACGATAATACGCGTAAGTGACCAATAATTGCATTATTTGTCAGACCTTTTAGATGCTATTTAGCTATTGTGACCGAATTGTCTAACAAATTTTCTCCGAATAATATTATTTGGCAAAAATTTTTGATGAATAATTTTGTTATCCATTCGCCAAATAGTTTCTTGTAATTTGGACACTAAGCGCCATAACTATTATTTTTTTAATTGTGCTTTTTATATTGTAGATAACTGATAATGACTAGCTAAACTAGAAGTACAATTTGTATATACTTATTTATTACTGTATATTAATTATAAAAATACTGTATAAAAAACAATAACATAGTATATACTGTAAATACTAATATAAGGTTAACGAAATATAATTCTGAAATGTTGTTCATATTAGTTTCCTAAATTTAAATAATAATTAAATAATAATTAATACTATTTAATATTGGAATCGAAACTTCTGTTAAGCTTTCGGCATAAGATACTACCTTCCCCTCTCTAAGGCCCTCTCGCTTGCGTTTAGTAGTAGCTTTAGTAATTGAAGTGTTCCCAGCAACGATAAGAGAGTTTCCTGATAATGTCGAATTGTGGATGTTGTGGATATGAATCGAGGAACCATTACTTGATTTACGTGTTTTTTCCCAATCTTTGACGCGTTGTTGGTTAGGTTTATTTTCCTTTTGCAAACAAGGTTCAAATTAATAATATTCTTAACGAACAAATCATGTTTTCCATTGCTTTTCAACCCTACAAGGTCAACGGCCGCGATTTACGCGAATAGCCACGCGAATGGTCTTGAACATCAGGACACCGGGAGCGAATCGTGGGTCTCCTGTGCCCTCGTAGGATCAGTGCCGGATCAACGGCCGCGATTTACGTGAATAGCCACGCGAATGGTCTTGAACATCAGGCCACCGGGAGCGAATCATGGGTCGCCTGTGCTCCAACACTGATTTTGTGGCTCGGCGGCCGCGATTTACGCGAATAGCCACGCGAATGGCCTTGAATGATCAAGCACCGGGAACGAATCATGGGTCCTTGTCACGCCACTATTTTTCACTTGCATATTTGATAAAAAAATTTACTTATCTTCTGAGAAGTTCTTCTGCCTTTTCTTTTCTCTTTTTTGCTCACCACGAGATCCACTTTTTTGCCGTACGGCTCAAGGTCGCATTGCTCTAAAAATTCTATAATATCCCATTTTGAAGGCTTTTGTTCTATTTTCGTCCAACCAATTTTGAAAGAAAGGGAAAAATTATATCTACGCGTCGAAAATTT